CAATCCAACATAGCAAAGGGCAGCCACAAAAGTATTTTGTAGGTTATGTTTAAATTCTATAATCAAGAACTCTGACTGATAATGCATGTAAAGCTCACACCTGGCCCATCATACTTTATGAATGTTAACTGCTAATAGTGTTAGTGATATTTTCACTGTTGTTGAACACATACCAAAAGCCTTAACACATTGACTTTAAGTGTAAGGGTATATTTTTTCTTTGTCTACAATTATCCCAAAGGGATTATGTCTGCAACTTACTTTCAAACAAGTGGAAAAACTGTATACAGACAGCTGTTGATCAAGCACATATAGGAAAATATTAACGTCTGGGGAGCCTGATGAAGGATATTTGGAAATTCTTTGCACTACTTTTAAAACTTTTCATGTCTGAAATCATTATTTTAAAAAGCTAGGCTTGGCATGGTGGCCTGTAATCCCAGCATTTTCGAAGGCCAAGGTGGGCAGATTGCTTAAGCTCAGGAGTTCAAGACCAGCTTGGGCAACATGGTGAAACCCCATATCTACAAAAAATAAAAAAATAAAAAAAAAATCGCTGAGCATGGTGATGCGCTCTGTGGTCCTAGCTACTCAAGAGGCTGAGTTGGGAGAATTGCTTCCCAACTCAGAGTTGGGAGAGTCTGGGAGGTCAAGGCAGCAATGAGCCATGTTCAGGTCACTGCACTTCATCCTGGGCAATAGAGTAAGACCCACCCTGTTTCAAAAATTAATCAACTAATTTATTTAAAAGCTAATTTTTTAATTAATAGAATTAAATTATATTTAAAATGCTCCAACAGATTTACTCTGGCAGCAACCAAAGTTCTGAGACAAGGACTGCTGATTTGCAGTGAAAGAGGTTAGTTAAAATGCCTATTGTAAACATTTTTAAATTATGACTCTATTTAATAATCAACTCAGTGACTCATATTTTAATTGTATAATATTATTTCTATGAACTATTAATAAACAGACATTTTAAAGAGAGAGAGAGATTACATCCTGTTTGGGGGAGATTAGAGAGAGAATGGGTATGATTTCACTAGGAAAAAACAAATGATGGAAAAGGAGGGTCTCTCGGGCAATCAAAACAGGCTAAATTAAGTCAGTCTATTTTAGATGATGAAGTCTATGTCTGTTTAAACTCTTTTTATGTGTAATAAGTGCCCAGCAGATAAAGGGCCAGACTGGTGCACTGCCTGGCAGGGGTTCATATTTAAAAGTTCCTCCTTCAAGCACAGTGCTAAGAAATTTATTTAGAAAATATCTAAATATCTCCTGGGTATATAATATTAGAGACAATGGCAGGCCCTCCTGCTGGATCAAAGTGCACCCCATGGATAAACGTGCCCAGACTGAAAAGGATGAAATCCTGGCCATCTGCTGGGATGCAGCTTTGTTCTAACACCTCACTTACGATTAAGAGATTGCAAACTGACTTGTTAATACTGTAATTCAAACTTTGTTGGCAGCCACACAATTGGAACCTCATGGACAATCTGCCTACCCTTTAAACATGACATTTGAGTTAATACCCTGTCCTTTTTCCAAGACACACATTACTAAAAATCACTGGAACCTGAAAGCAGCAAAAGTTCAGCAATCAAATCCTGAATCCTGATCACCACCCTTCAACGCCCATTGTGAGGAGTGCCACTTAAGCTGATGAGGATGTGTCAGCAAACCAGAGCTCATCACCAGAGCATCTATGGGCTGTACCCCAGCATAACTGTGAAACACCCAGGAGAAGCAAAGAAAAGTCTATGTGCCTTATTACTTTATCTAATTCCTCCAATCTTTTTCTACCACTATCATCCATTTGCAATCTGTTCCAAGGAAAGCACATTCCATCCAAAATTAGGATCTTAGAGAAGAACTTATACCTCTGACTTCTTTATTTTAAAAATATATATATTTGAAATTCTACCAAATATGTAATGCCTGATTAGGCACTGTGCAAAGATATGTGGGACATCATGCTTATCCTCAGAGAGTTTATACTCTGTGGGAGAGATAAAACATAAATATTAACCAGATACAAATTCAAATATGACATCATCTTTGGCACACAGGCATATCAAAAAGAAAGAGCTGACAAATGGACTTTGTAGGGTTAGGATGTTCACCAAATATTACCGTGTTTTCTCTGAATGATTGGTTTTGGGGATGCTTCTTGTCTTTTTCTCTGTACTTTATGATTTGTTTCAATTTTACAGTAAGTATGAATAGCTTTTATTAAAACAATGATGTTTATTTCAAAAAGAAAAGCAGGTTCATAGAGGAAATGGCACTTTTTAAATGGACATAATTGAGAGGAGTAATAATGACTTCGTTGGTTATCTAACCCCCAGTCTAACTCCTTTGGAAATCATTAAAAAAAGAAAGGCAACTCTTCCATGAACCTGGGCATATTGACAACTCCCTGCTTCTTCCTCCTAATTATTATGCCAGTAAAGTTCAGGAAAATGCATATGGCATACAAGCCAAGCATCTTTTCAACCACCAGACCCAGTAGATTGAGTGTCGAGGAGACTACTCAGGAGTAGATGTTTTGAGAAATGTTGTAATTTGCCAAAATATCATCAATGAGTACCAGCTCATGGTTCTGACCTGCCTGTGAGTGTTCCTCCACTCAGCTGTCATAGCAGCCAAAGGAATGATGTGGAAATAATTCATCTCTTCTGTAGAGAATCTGCTTTAGAAATTACATACAACAAAACTTTCCCAGACACAGATACCTGAAGAGTATATGCTAAAATTACTTGATTAGTAAGAACTAAATCATTTCCAGAAGCAAGGCAAGGAGATGAAGTAGACAGAAGACAAGACTTGGAAACTCAAGACTTAAGTTTCTTCCTGACTTTCACACTTAGCACAATGTGTGATCTTTGATGCAAGGAACTGCTCTTGATTTATTAGCAATATTACATTGTAAATTGGGAAAACAATTATCTTATCTTTAATACTATAAAATATTATTTTAAAGATTGGTAAATAATTACTGATAGTGTTCTTTGTATCTTGCAAAAGGGTGTGGTTACAATTCCTAGAGTTTAGAAAAACATTGTGTGGTTATCTTGTTTTAAGATGAGGAGAGGACCACTATCCCTCAGAAATGCCAATTCTACATCTTTCCCAGTTTTCAACATAATGGGTCAAGTTTCAAATACACCATCTTGAATCTTCCAGCAGCTACAAGTCAATGAAATATAAATTTTATGTAGTACGTGTCTCGATTCATCTATACAAGAAATAAACTATGTCTATCTACTCTATGCCTATTAAAATAGAAGACCCATCCTATATTACAGACTGAGAGACAGATTAAGGATGGGCCAACCATTCAGGTAATCAGGGCCCTATCAAATAGGAGAAGCTACAAAATGGCTCTTGGGATACTAAATTGCTACAAAAGTAATGAGCTGGAGAACATGTGTTTCCCAGTACTTTAAATACGGATAAAATATAGGTGACTGGAAACTATTACTTAGTAAACTGCTTTGGGTACTCTGTGAGTCCCCAGAAAGGCATGTCCAAGATGATTGCCTTCTAAGGAGGGTGGATGTGAAGAGCCTAGAGTTTTGGCTTTGCTGAGGGGAGAATATAAATTTGGGGGCCAGAGCTTAGACAATAAAGATGAGGTTGAGAGCTTCTACCAGTGGTGATCTTTCTTCGTCCTGACCCCATAGAGTGCTCAAACTCGCCTCTAAATGAACAAACTACTAAGTACATCTGTTCAAAGAGGCATCAAACTATTAAACTGCAAGAGAAACTCACGTCTTATTAAATTGTGACTAGTCCCTTTAGTCATACACAGTCTTAAAGTATTGAGAAACGTAAGTAAAACAAAACTTCATTCTCCCAGTCATTCAATCATTTCCACATTCCTTCTCCTTCTGCTAACCACCCTGGACAGGACTGGTATCATATGTCAATGTATGGAAAAAACAATAATGCTACAGAGATTTAGTATTTTTTGTTCTACTTTGTCCCTTTCTTTTAACTAAAGAATTACAAACATGAGACATTCAGCTGTTTTAATACAAAGCTCAAAAGTGGACAAAAATATAGTTTTTTTCTTGACATTATACCTCTTTTCCATAAAAATACATAAAAATACATAATGCCCCAATGACTTGATATTGATATCAATCATTTGTTTCCTCCTCCCTCTCTCAAAAAAAGAACAAATACTCAGATCACTGAGTCTAACATGAAAAGTGTATAAAACTGAAATTTGCAAATATCTGAAGTGAAGCTCAGTCCTGAGATGCAATATATGTATCCCCTGGTGCAAGTTAAAGCCAGTTGCCTCCAACACGACCCACAACACAATAAAGCTGGGGTTTTAAACGCAGAGAACACAGGAACAAGGGCCATTAAACAACCTGGCTGATTAGGCAAAATATACACTACCCAAACCACGATAATTAAACCACTAAAACAATAGCCCTGCAGTGTTTATACAACCTAGAACCAGAAGAAAACAGATTATCATTAAACTGGGGTAAACTAAAACATCTAACAAAGAAACAAAATAATCCCTACCCCACATTTATTATTTTAGCTTCTTCTCCAACTTATTTGGGTCCTTTGTGCCCTTGGAAAGTCAATTCACCTCTAAGGGACTCATTCTCCTTTGTGAAATTAAGACCTTAGGTTAGATAATATTTACAATACTGAACAGCTGCATAATGTAACACAAAGGAGTTAGAAGACCTGGTGTCTCATGCTTGATCTGTCATGAAATGCTAGGCAAGTCATTTAACCTTCCCTGAGTACCAGAATTCCTCATCTATTAAATGGAGACAAAATCACCTGCTCTGTTTATCTTATAGGGATGAAGATAATCAGATTTAAAGTGGTTAGAGAACTGTAAATGTCATACAGTTATAATGAACTAGAAGTATGATATGGTCCGGCTGTGTCACCACCCTTTCATCTTGAATTGTAGCTCCCACAATATCCTCATGTTTTGGGAGGGACTCAGTGGAAGATAACTGAATCATGGGGGCGGTTTCCCCCATACTGTTCTCGTGGTAGTGAATAAGTCTCAGGAGTTCTGCTGGTTTTATAGGAGGAAACCCCTTTCGCTTGGCTCTCATTTCACTCTTGTCTGCTGCCATGTAAAACATGCCTTTTGCCTTCTGCCATGATTAAGAGGCCTCCTCAGCCGTGCGGAACTGTGAGTCCATTAAACCTCTTTTTCTCTATAAATTATCCAGTCTTGGGTATGTCTTAATCGGCAGTGTGAAAACAGGATAATACAAACTACCATCATCACTTTAACTTCCCAAAACATCTAATAGAAAAGATCTTTTCCCCCCTTTAGTTTCCAAAGAGCAATCACTAAATAATAATTCTATGGCTCTGAGCAACTTTGGAGCCAATGGCTGATAAAGGTACTAGAAAGCCAATGTGGGGTAGTGAGAATCAGAAGACAAGTCCTGACACAGACCCTATGTGTGACCTCAGCCAAGGTATTTAATCTGATTGCCTCAGTTTTCTGACCTCACAGACAGGGAGCTGTGCAAGTTATAATACCAAATATCTACTGAATGCTTACTATGTGGCATGGCTTCTTTCAATTACACCTCAAAATAGTCATATGACATAGGTATTCATCTTACAGGTGAAGTATCTGGCACTGTGCAGGTACATAACTTGCTAAGGATCACCAAATGCTCAGTAACAGGCTAACTTCAATGTCTGTATTCTTGACCTCTAACCAGTAGTTCTCAAACTTTTTGGTGTGAGGATTCTTAAAAATTAAAATATATTTTTCCAAAAAGTAAAATATCAAGAAGAATCACATTGTTTTACAGTTTTAGAAGTCTCTTTAATGTCTGGCTTCATAGAAGACAGTAGGAGAAATGGCCATTACTTCCCCACCCCAGTCCCCAATACCAATCAAACAAAATATTATATAATCAAATTGAAAGGAAACTGGAAAAATATAATTACAATTAAAACAGCACCATTTTAACATTTATCTAATAAGCATCTTAAATTTCTAAATTAGAAGGTCACCATATTTAGTGAATGAAATGTAATAATAATCATAATTAGATTCTAAATTGCATTTTATACTCCAGTGATAATCCCAGACAAATCAGCCATCGCCAGCAATTACTGATAATTTATTTTTGTTAGTGGCCTGAAAGTTTTTGAAGAGAAATTAATGACTGAGAGCTTGATGTGAAAAAAAAATGCATATACTTATTTGATTCTGAGAAGGCATAATACAATTCTTCCTCAGCAGAAGTATGGTCTAAGGGAAAAGATGATAACCTGTGTAAACTGAGAAGTCAGTGAGATATATACTTTGGCTACTACCGAGAAGATGGGGATCCAGATAGCCTCTCAACTCAGTTGAGTATTCTCTTTGAACACCTCTGATTTACTTCCTTCATTTCCTTCCTTAAGCCTGTGCCAGACCATTCCTTCCTCCATCTATTCCTTCTACTCTCCAAACTCAAGTAAGACCAGTCTACTTTTCACAACACGATGATACTGACATTCAACCTTAGGAAATAGGCAAAAATAATATTCTTTATTCCTTTCGCTGCTTGGTCCACCAGGTAAATGTCACCTCACACTGAGACAAAATATATTTGCCCAAGAAAATGTTTTATGAACAACTATTATGCACCTTAATATTCTCCATGTCTTCATGCAAGTATCATCTTAGCAAGGCCTTCCAGGGCCATTCATCTATTACCACAACACCACTAATATCACCACTTCTCTACTTCTTGCCTCTCCTCTCTTCCTCCTTTATTTTGCCTGTAATATTTATCACTAGCACATTTTAAATTTCATTTATTCATTTCATTTGCTTATTTTCTATCTCCCCAACTAAAATGTAGATTTCGTGAAGACAGATATTGTTTCTTATGCTTCCCCCACTACTGAATCCCCAGCACCTAGGATGAAGCCTGACACATATAAATTTATTTCTGCCTTTATTGCACATAGTTCCTTCCTTACTGAACAGAGTTTAAGATGCAAAGTCTCTGACTGGCCATCCTGGTCAATTTCCCCACCTGACGTAATATGCATAAGCTCTCTAATTCCAGAGCGACAGAAATGGAATGAGAAAACCACACATAAAAAATGTGTTGAATAAATGAAAGTGATTAGAATGAATGAATAAATGGACAAATGAATGTAGCAATCTGGGGCAGGGGGAGAAAAAGAATATTTAATTCATGAACTATCCTCTCATGGAGCCCACAATCCACCAATGACTCTCAACCAGGTATATGTGACAGATGACATACACCCCTGTCACACAGTTATATGGCCATAACCCACACCATGGAAGCTGGCACTCATAACATGAACTGCAGATTATATATAATTATCCCTCAGGTTTTCTGAAACTCTGCCCTTTGCTCCTACTCACAAAGCATCCAAGATCTACACTGAACATGGTATTTGCATAGGGGTGACCTTGAATCAGTTCTATTTTGTAAATTTTCTTAAAATGTAATACTTTCCCTATGATTAGTAATCAGTTATTTATAATATAACTCTCAACAACTGGCAATACTTCAGAATGTCCAGCTCAGCTTTGTAAAACTGCTTGTCTAGAAAACAGAATGAAGCATGTCAGTTGAGAAATAAGCTACTTGGCCTACTAGAGAAATATGTAATAGTTGGAAAATACTTAGCATAAAAAATACAGGACATTGTTTTCAGGTCTATCTTATTCTATGGAATGTGAGCTTTTATTCTTTGTCTATTTTCCCAATGCCTTTCTATCACAGAGCCCATCATATACCTGGAACTCCAGGGATTATGAATAAATAAAGCACTGGATGAAAAACTAAATTGCAGAACAAAGGAATAATGCATTAGTGATTAAGTGATATACCAGAGATCCTAAAGGTCTCAAACCTATGCAACTCATAACTCATTCTTCAAGACTCAGCTGCCACCTTCTAGCAAAGTCTTTCTGACTTTCCCGATCCAAATTTCATTTTTCCTACAACCTTGATATCATGTTTTTATAGTATCTTCTTTAAGATATTCATTACATTTTATCTCATGCTGGTCCTTCAATTTCAGCTTCAAAGTTCTTTCATTCCCTGATCACTACTGCAATCTTGGACTGGTTTCTTTTATATACATACTCATGGAACCATGTTCCTTTCTTTCAGGACATTTATTTCAGTGGTAGTTCTACAATTATCTATATATTCACTTGGCTTGAGACTATCTCAAATCAATAAACTGAGCTCTATGAGCCTAGTGACTATATACGATTTTGTTCACCATGTATCCCCAGCCCTAGCACAGTGCCTGGCCATAGCAGGTGCTCCATTAATATTTGGTAAATGAATAGATTAATGAATAATAGTATTGCTTTGTTCAACATTGTTTTGTAATAGAACTGATAAGAGAAAAAAATCAATTCCTAGCCAGGTCCACTGTCTGTGTGGAGTTGGCATACTCCCCCATGTCTGCATCGGTTTTCTCTAGGTACCTTGGTTTTCTCCCACATTCCAAAGCTCTGCATGTTAGATGAATTGGCATGTCTAAGGTGTCCCACTGGGAATAAGTGTGGCTATGTATGAGAGAACCTTGTGATGGGATGGAGTCCTGTACAAGGTCAGTTCCCACCTTGTACCCTGAGCTGCTGGGATAGGTTCCAGCCACCCATGACCCAGAAATGGAATAAACAGGTTTGAAAAGAATAAGGAATAGGCCGGGCATGGTGGCTCATGCCTGTAATCTCAACACTTTGGGAGGCTGAGGCGGATGGATCACGGAGTCAGGAGATCGAGACCATCCTGGCCAACATGGTGAAATCCCATCTCTAATAAAAATACAAAAAAATATTAGCATGGTGGTACGTGCCTGTAATCCCAACTATTTGGGAGGCTGAGGCACAAGAATCGCTTGAACCTGGGAGGTGGAGGTTGCAGTGGGCTGACATGGTGCCGCTGCACTCCAGCTTGGCAACAGAGTGAGATTCTATCTCAAAAAAAAAAAAAAAATTGTGAAGTGTACAGTGAACATACAGATGCAAGACAATAAACTATGCAGTATAAAAGCACCCAGCAAGCCCGCCCTATTTGTTATTGTTTGTTTTTGAACTGCATGGTGGTCAGAGGGGCTCCTGACAATTTTTACTTTTCATTTATTCCTTGATTAAACCTACCATTACTACAACCACTGTAATCTACTGATTCATCAAAAACTGGATAGACATTACCTTGTTTTTATTATTCTTTCTTAAGTATACACATGGCTCACATTTATTTCAATGCTTAATAGAAGTGTTTTGGGTCTTTATTTATAAATTTGGTGATGTTTTGTGACCAGAAATATGCCCTAGGAACTTAACTCTTATTTACATCAGTTAGTTTTATTACACATTGTTTCACTTAAAGTTGCAGTTTCTAAGAACCTATTAACTTGAAGTGAAGACTTACTGTGGTATCTTCTCAAAGGAAAGTAAACTCCTTTACCTCTTATAACAGGGAATTTGATGCCTGGAACGTGATTGTGGCTCTATAAACATTAACTTGGATATATTTTCCTAAAGCTGTATGTATTTATATATATGCGCATGAGGGTGTATGTGCATCTATGTGGCAAGGAGTTGAATGTAGCTTTTAAAATGTGTGATAGCTTTCTGCCTTCCGCCTGTGTCTTCCTTCAGAAGACTTTTTTAATGTACAAATTGAATATACATTTAAACAATTACAAGGTTGCCACACTGTTGACAAGGAACCTGTTGCAGCCTTTAAGACAGTCTCAAATAGAATAATAGCCCTCTATGACTTCAACAAAAATTCATTTTTATTGAAATTAACCAGCATATACTAGAACCTAAAGGAAAAAATAATTCTGCCAGACTTGGCAGCACGGCAGGACCAGTTTGTGCAATCTATTTACTGGTAATAATGGTTATGTAGGAGGCCCTTGCATGGGACCGTCATTTGCTCACAAGGACATGCACCTCACAGCCTGGTTCAGAGCATAGTCATTATTCTGGATGCTCCCATTTCAATTCAACTGTATTTTTGAGTGTGTAATTTAAAAAAAAAAAAAAAAAACCTTCCAGGGACCATTAAGTAATTCTTGGACACCCCTCAAAGGACAGACACAATATATTTAGGCACTTAGCCATCCAGTTATCACCTCTTCTTTCAAAAGGCCACATCAGCAAAGAGTAAAGGAATAGATTGGAAATGCCTAACTGGTATCCTAGCCAGCTGTATCTACTTGGCCTGATGTATTATTATATAGGCCAACTATCAACAATCAATTCTTTAATCCTCTCTTAGAGCTGCTTGGCTGCTTGTACTGCTCCATAACTCACTATCATAATCTCCTTTGACACATGGTGAAGTCCAAAGCACAGTCTCACATAGAGCCAGGGTTGCAGTCTGGAACACTCGGAAGTGCAAAGAATTTGCATTTGACCCTTTGCCTATTCACTCACAGAAGTCCCTGTCCAAAAGAGAAATAGCACAGGACCTGAAATCACCAGGAGATCCCAATTCTCTATCCAGGTTTTGTATCTAAAGTTGGGGATTTGGAGCAAGGCAAGAAGCAGCACAAGTATCCCTCAGTTTCCTTTTCTGTTTTTAGAGGGTGGTGAATTTCCGGACTTCAAAGCGTCCTTTCCACATTGAGCATCTATAGCAGTGATGCCACTATTTTAACATGTCAGTTTTATTTTGCTTTATGTCCTCTCTTTGTTGAAAGTAGTTAACCCTTTCCTTAAGTGAAGACAACTTGACAAGGATGAATGTTCACACTGGATAACCAACTCATATTCCCAGCCTGCCTCCAATCTTCTAGAGACTCATACTGGAAAAACAATGAAAGCGACTCCCATGTATAGTATAAAATCAATAATTTTTGTTAACTTCTACTGAGTGTCCAGAACTGTAGTGTGTGTGTTTATGTTGGAAGTGGAATAGTGTGTCATTTAGAATACAACTGAAGTTTAGAGAGAGTCAAGGAATTGATAAGAAAATTGTTGAATTTAAAGTATTCAGGCTAGAGTACTAAACTTCGTATGGCCAAATGAGTCAATCTATAAGAAGGTAAGGCTGACATAGTCATGGAACAAATGGTTAGAAAGGTAAATTTTGGTGTGTGCCTTACAAGACAGAAAGATTTGATAAAAGGGAAAAAAACAAGGAAAAAGTTATTCCATAAATGTGCCAATGTTTATAGAGATAGAAATGACTGAATATATGCAGTGCTTAAAAATAAGAGCTTTGCAATTTGGCAGCCTGGCTTCTGATCCTGTTTCTGTCATTTGTAATTGTGGATCCTTGGGTAAGTCACCACCTGACTACTCTGAGCCTCTAAATTTCTTTGCCTATAAAATGGAGATATTTAGAATGGCTAGCTCAGGAATTAAGTTATGAGGATTAAACTAAATGAAAATTAAACAAGATAATAGCTAGCACATAGCAAGTATTCAATAAGCTTTAGTCATAATTGATATCACTATCAATTAATATTTGTTGAGAACTTGTTACATGTCAATCACTCTTAGGCCCAAGAACTATAAATAAATTAAAACTAAGGTGCTGGCCAGAGAAATTCTCAGTCTGAAGACCAACTAATAAATCAATTAATTCACTGTGACACATATTGTACCAGAGCTTTGCAAATAGACAGGGAGCAAGCACCTAACAATGGTTGGGGAGTAGAAAAGGATGAGGAAAATAGATCACAAAGATGGCAAGGATTTTTTTTTTTTCCAGACACAGTCTTGCTCTGTCACCAGGCTGGAGTGCAGTAGCACTATCTAGGCTCACTGTAACCTCCATCTCCTGGGTTCATGTGATTCCCCTGCCTCAGCCTCCTGAGTACCTGGGACTACAGGTGACCACCACCATGCCTGGCAAAGTTTTTGTATTTTAGTGGTGATAGGGTTTCACCATGGCCAGGATGGTCTCAATCTCCTAACCTTGTGATCTGCCCTCCTCAGCCTTCCAAAGCACTGGGATTACAGGCAGGAGTCACCATGCCTGGCAAAGATAGTAAGGATTCTAAGTCTAAAAGAATGAGTAGGAACACACAAACACTAAATAAAAATAGTTTTCTAGATAGAATAAATATTAAATGCAAAGATACAGATATTTAAGAAACAATCTAAGAACTGAAATGGTTTGGTGGAAGATGGAGTACAGGATATGGAGGAAAACAACAGGGGACAAGGCTGGACAATTAGGAAAACGCAGATTTGAATTTGTTTCTTCAGGCAAAGGAGTCGGATGATAATGACTAATTCTAAAGAAGAAGAATAAAAAATTTAAAAGGCAAGGTGGAATCTGTAAATTACACTCAAGCTAATGAAGGGTCTTAAATGCTAATTCAAGGAGTTTGAATTTCAGCCTATGGACTTTTGAAAAGTACTTTTACTTCTAAAATAGGAGATAACCATTAAAAATCTATTTTAGGTAGATTAGGCAGGTTATAACCTGCAATTGCCCTAGTTATGGTGAAGGGGTGCCAGGCTGGGCTCAAAAATCAATGTCAATGAGAAGGTTGAACAGTGGAGTCAAAAGGCTGTTAATAATACTTAGAGCTAGGGAAGTAATGATACAGTTCTCCTTGGTCCCAAATCCAACTACTCACTGGTATCACCAGGAGAAAAGAGAACTATGTTCAAAGGAGAGGGATCACGATGTAAGCTGACTCCAAGCCATGCTAACACTTACTTCACTGCTGAACCCTACTTTGAGGAGGCCTCTCATGGAACCAGTGTTCTACAGAACACACTTTAAGAAACATAAAATCTTATCATCAACTGTCAGTGATGTTGTAAAGAGAAAAATACTGAATGAAGTATCGATGGTTAGTAAGGCATTTCTAAATAGAGTTAGGGTAATTTCTGTGTGACCTACAGTGTAGTATTTATAAAGGACAGATCTCTCTAAAATACAAGTTTCTTAACAATTTCTTGGCTTGTTCAAAGAAATAATGAAATTTTTAAAAAATAATTTTTACAGGATAGACTGTATCTGTGGTCCTAAATTCTACATTTTAAACTCCAGAACAGCTTTTAAAATTCTGACCATAGGTCACCATAAGTAACAGAACAAATGGAGTTCTGCTTCGCTTTTGAAAAGGATTATTGTGCAACTCATCGCTATAAATGTAAAATGCCAGAAACCTCCATGGCTGTAGAAAATCTAGTGCCTTTCAAAGTTTTGTTTAGAAAGCTCTGAAGAATGAGATTAATTATAGAATCCCTAACGTCTCCTTTTTTTTTTTTTAATCCACACCACACAAGATTTAAGAGCCAAGCCAGAAAACATCAAATGACTTGTTCAGCATTGTTCAAGGAGAAACATTGATGTTTTCTGCCACATACGAGAAACGCTAAGATTTTTATAAAAGGTAAAATGAGATATGACCAGCAGCACGTCTGCTATAAGATGCTGTTACACCAACTACCATAAGCAGATCAATATAAAACAAATTCATATTCCTGACTGCCCAAAAGGAAAAAGACCCTCACAATTCCACAGTGCACGAAAGAAAAATGGTGTTAACAAATAATGAATATAAAGCTGGTCTCAGTGACCTCTAAGCCTGTAAAAATCAAACACATTTTTATATAACTTTATTATTTCTTGTTTAGAAATAATAAAGAGTGATAGACAACTCTGGTATTCACTGAACAAGGGATAGCAAAAATTCTTTTATCGTTTTAAGGCCCAACTCAGCCAATAAAGACACATTTTATTGTAATTGAATTTTCTCTTTAGTCTTTAAAAATAGAAACTACATCACCACCTGGTAAAATGACTACTAAGCACTTAACTGTATGAGATTTTGGTGGTCACAGGGAAAAGAAATTACCAATTTAGAATTCTCTATGAACTAGATATCTTACATTTGTAAAGATTTTATGGTCTTTAAGCTGTTTCATTTACATTGCTACATTTGAGTTTCTCAATACACTTGTGAGACACGCAAGGCAGGTGATCTAACATCCGAATCAGAACAGAAAGCTGAACATCACCAACTCAGTCACCTGTCATGCCTGAGAACGTAAAGTAAGCGCAGAGTTAGGACTGCAACACATGGTCCCTAACTCCCTTTCTAAGAGTCTTTCTCTCACACTATAGCTGTTAAGAAATCAAGTTTTCTACACTTGCTCCTCATAACAAAGTTGTTGTTTGCCTCTTTCACAATACGTTTTAAAATGAATGATGACAACTGAAAGGGTTACCTTCAGCCAAAGAGTGGGTGAAAAGCAGAAATGGGCAGCTTTTGTAGGTTCGTGATATCACGGCAGCAGACATTAACCTATGGATTCAGTCTTCAGACAGCTATTGTGCACAGTAGCTTCTCCATATACAGGTGAAATTAATACTTAAGTAAGGACTAGTCCACACAATGCAAAAAAAATCTAAATCTCTTTGCAGATTACCATGAAAGCCATGGTCATTGGGAAGACACATAACCAAAATTCGGAGAAGACATGAATCCTGTAAAGATAAAGTGAGAAAAACTCTGGTGATATCTTAGCTGAAGTTGGGGGTCACAAATGGAAATGTCCAGAGCAATCAGGCAGGTAACACACTGAGGGAAGTGGGCTGGGTCTGAACTGGAGTGAGCTACTATGTAAAGGGGACAGCACTATTTAGCCCTAATTGAGTCCTGTTATGCAAGAGACCAGGCTCAATGTTCCCAAATCTTCCCTTTTATTTTTAAAGAGAAACTGGATTATTAGGATGAATTTGATTCCTAGCAACTAAATGAAAAAAGTAACAGAGCATGGATCCAACTAAACATGTCTATTGATTAGATTTAACCAGCATGTCAGATTCAGCCTGTGGACTAAACATTTTCAAGTTGAAATTTCAGTGTTAAAACTTCTAGTTTAGTCAATGATAAGTGTT